GGAGAGAAAAGAGTTGTTGGTAGACACAGACAACATCTTATATTCAGAAAGGTCTATGGCAAATGGGTAACTTCATTCCATTTAAGTCTTTACATGTCTACATACAGCCTTGATGATAGAAATGAAAAATTAGAAAAAAACATGGAATCACAGTCCACAATTTCTCAAACTATGGTTCTTTCTCAAGTGTGGGTTTTCATAAACATTATTTCTGCTCATGACACAGGGAACATTTCAAGAGAAGAGACAGGTAGATTTTAAAATCCATAAGTGTTGAATAATTCCATGAAAACAGTCACTTTCAGACAAAATAGGACTGGTACAAACATGAACTCATTAGTCTGTGGAAGAAAACACAGGGCTTGCACATGTTCAAACCACATTGGATTCTAATCCTGAGAGTGGATCCTAGACATGGTCTCTCAATCCTGAAGAAGAAACTATATGCAGTTGGTACTCACATGCCTAGGAAAAAATGATGAACTTCAGTGGAATATTACTGGTTTTGTGAAACACACTTCACAGTAGGTCTTACACCTAAAACCAATAAAAACAAGCACAATTGTGTATTTATATGCTTTGGGATCTAGGATTACTTGGGGAAGAGATAAATTATAATCAGAATGTATTGTTCAAAAACAAATTTTGACTAAGAAAATTTGGAGTTCCCCCTCCAAAATTGTGTACTGAGTGCTATTTGATAAATGAGAACAGTGTGGTTAGACAGACTAGGTTTATGTATGATATTGTCATGTGCATTAACAAAATGTTTGCAGTGTTACCAACAACTTCTTGTTTGTTGCCTATTGAAGTCTTGATCATTTCTACTTCCTGTAGTAACAGTAACAAGGTAGGAATCTATGGAGATTTCTACATGTTTCTCTGCTCAGATTATTTTTCAGAACATGGACAGAGGTATCAGAGATAACTTCTCTCTTCCAGATTTACTCATATATAGACACAATCAGACAGGTCTCTGTTCCTTACAGCAAAGATGATATCAGCTTATTGACTGCTATCCTACAAGATATCATCAAGGCTATCTTCATGGCCCATGTCTCTGCTGTAATCATGGTTTCATTTCCAGGGTGGATCTCTAAGATTCAGGCTCTTTCTACATTTTGTCCACTTACATTGTCTCTAAGCAGTGCTGTGTCTCATTATTCAATCTTGGAAACACAGACCTGCTTAAATACTAAGTTTAAAATTGTTTCAGCTCATAAGAGTCACCCAGGTCCTCAGATGTACCAATATTTACTCATTTTCTCACTGTTCTGTGCAATTGTTGTATGAGTCCTTTCATTGTCCTGGTAGTATTTTGAGTGTTGAGATCTCTTTAGTTAGAATCAACAGCAGGAGCCCATTAGAGCAACTCTGTAGAGAAAGGACTGTGGTTCACGGAAACAACTTTTGAGGTACATCTCATTATCCTTCCTTGAAATCTCTACTCAGCATCTCAAGGCACATGACCAAGAAGATGAATATAAGACATAGTGAGGGGTCTGTGTATGAGAAATTATACAAGCCAGTACTGAGAACCAGCAGGGGGCACTGTGGATCCATCAATCTCTAAGATGTAAAGGGAAGCAGAAGCAGGTAAATATGTGCACTGAGGAGATTTCAACTATCTTTGTAGATTTCATTGCCAGTCTCAGTACATTAGGAGACCATGGTGCAGTTGTCTTGTGAGATCTCCATGGAAGAACACTGGAGAGGTTATTTGTTAAATAAAATCCATAACAAGATCAACAAAATCTAGAATGGATTCATGCATCTGTTGTATAGGATAACAGTTCATGAAAAATGTATCAGTAAAGCTTAAGAGTATCTGAGCTCTAGGACACTGAGAAACATTTGGGGAAAAATGACCCAGAAATTCTCAGCTGATAACAGAGCTGTGCACATTCCTGGTGATCAGTGGTATGGAATGCACATCAGCCTGAAAACTCTGCCAGTGTCTGATGTGGCCAGGATGGTTAATGTGACTCCTCAGCATCACAAATATGGTTGACTATATGGAAGTTCAAGTAACACTTGAACCATTGAAGTGTGATTCCTTTTAATGAACAGGAATGTAGCGAATAGATTCTTACAGGGATGGAAGATCTCTGTCCACACAGGTGCTGGGATGAATGGGGGAGAAAGAGCAAAAAGCTAGAAATCAATGTGTGATGTACTCAAGGAAAACTCTTGATCACTTTCATATTCATTGCACTAGATGTGCACATACTGTAATTCTAATATTACATTAATTAAGAAGTTAAGCTAACAGTATCTATTTGTATTCTCACAGTTCTCAGAATTTTGTGAAATGTAAGAAGACAATGTCTCCATAGCATTTAACTAGGCAAGCACACTTGTTCATTGGAAAGTATGATAGCCATCAGAGTCCCATAGGCTGGAGTATGAAATGCAGCTCTATAAACCAAGATTGTGAAATGTCTAGGTAAAACCATCCAGCATGCTGAATTGTAGGGATAAGTGTTCTCTATAATGAAAACAGGTGAACTCACAGACCTCAAGACATCATATCAATCCTGACCATAGACAGATGAGAATATGTGTACCACACTTTTCCCAGCTCCTTCAATCCTGCAACACTGGGTGCATCTGATTCATGACATGATATTAGAGAGAAATATGCATGAATAACCTGAATTAATGTAGTACTCATTTATTTTTAATATTGTAGCTAAATATCAGATATATAATACACATACAAATATAGTCCCACATAGTGTTATTGGATTGTGCCATTTGGGAAACCTATTCCAAATCCATCCTTTTTCCATTAATATGTTCAGTATCTGAAAAACATAAGTAGCACAAACCCTGTCTAAGAATAAGGGGAACTGATGATACTATACAGAAAACGTAAAATACATCATTGAAAACTCCGGTCGGCATCTTCAGACAAAAAACAGCCGTTTCTCCCTGCAGCTGAGTTCTGTGAGCAATGAAGCTGCAGGAATGTGTTACTGCTCAAGGGAGATAGTGTAATTTCAGTGTAATAATGACAAACCAACCTTCAGGGGAGCTCAAAAAATCAGGGGGCCCGATGTAGCCCAGAATCCCAGTAGCGAGATAAGTTTGGTGTGGAACAGACTGTGTTTCCTCGTTGGTTTCCTGTCTTGAGTCTACTAGCTGAACTGAACCTGCTGTTGTTCACGTGTAATATTTCCATGGATGAAAGCAGTAAAGATTTGCTGCTACACTTTTTATGGGTTTATATTTTCTTGTTTATTTCGTGCAGCTTACTTTTACATTTTACAATTTTATTTGAAAAATGTTGTACAATGCATTCTGATCACTGATTACCCTACCCCTACTCCTCCTAGACCTTTCACTATCCTCTTCTGCCAAACTCTACACCCTGTGTTTCTCTAACAAGTTAAAAACAAAGAGACAAAGAAATTATAGGAAAGTAGTTAACACCAAGCCAAAATAAAACAATAAATAATCTGACACACCAGCACACACAAAATCCAAAAAATCACAACTCTGTGACGATGATATATAGGCAAAAGACAAGTGAAAGAAAAAATGCACAATGTGATGTGAGAGAGAACTTTTACAAAGTATCACTGAGTATTTTTGTTCTGTCTAAGCTTGTAAAATATCTGAGTGGGTAAAGATGTCTACTGGAAGACTTGGCAACATCAATTTGATTGCTTGAACTCACAGAATAAAATGCAAGAACTGTATTCCATAGGTTGTCTCTGAGGTTCATGCACACTCGGGTTGGTTTTTCTCCTGTTCAAACCACCAAAGATAGAATAACATATTTAAAAAGTTATATACTTGGAGATAAACTCCAAAGGACCCACATCAAACAGAGAATCTATTGGCATTGATGTCTGGTAATGAAAATGTTATCGGTTTTATTTGGAAGTTGTGTAGAGCTTTCTGGTGTACTGTTCAAAGATTCCACATATGTGTATATAGGTAGAACTGATTAGATTCAGGTTGTTATTTATTAATGAAACAAGGGAGGTCACAAAGAGGGACAGAGACATATTGGAAGGTGCCAATAGGAACCAGTGGGACATAATCAATATAGATATGATCATACTATATTTTATACATGGATAGATTTTCAAAAATCATAAATATGATGTGTAAAAATAACAATTTCCTATATTTTTAGAATTTTCATACACATGCATTTCATACACTATTATTTCCCCCATGAATCTATACCCTTCATTTTCTTCACCCTCCTATTTTATTATACTAGAAAACTTTCACTTATACTTCATCATGTATCCATATTCATAGTTTTATGTAAACAAACAACATCTAAAATCTGCTGATGCGAGTCTCCTTTAATGTCTGATTTCTGAGATGGTTTTAAGTAATACATTTATCTCTACTTTTTCCATTTGTTATAACTGATATAACTTCCCCATTCCTTGTGGATAAAAATCATGTGTTGTGCTGTTTGTATAAACATATCTTCATGATGAGATCCTCTGATGACAAAGATATAGTTTATTTCCATAATGTAGTTATTGTGAAGTTGCTGCAATAATCACTGTTGTATAAATAATTCTTAAGTATATCTAGATTTGGATGAGTTTCTTAGTATGTAATCTGGTGGACTGGCAAATATTAATTGCAAATAACAGAAAGGAGGATGTAAGCTTCAAACTAAACTGGTTTTAAATTTCCCATCACTGCCATCTTCACAGCCATCATCTGTAAATCAGTCTGACAGCCTTGTCCCAGGTGGAGGCACTGCCTCAGTCATGAAACCTATGGAGATCTCAGGTCATGATTTTGCTTCCTCAGCATCTGCAGAGAATCCATGGAAGAAGGATGCTATACATATGCTCAGAGATAATGAGATCTTGGCTTCAGGATCCTGCTTCCTGACCAAGGTGTCTTCTTGTCCAGCATGTCTAGGTCCAAATTTCAGAAATACCCTGTTCATGAATATTCAAATTACTGGAGTCTATTATGGTAAATACAAGGATATCCACACCTCAGCACAGCATAAGATCAGAGTCATTTCCATAGTTACAGAAGACACAGGTCCTCAACATGGGAGGGAGCTGGACCATTCTCTTTCTTGTGTTGGTAACTAGAGGTAAGGGCTTTCCAGTTACAAATCTGAATAAGGAATAGGAACTGAGGAGACAAATGTAGACACCCTGCCCTTTTCTCCACAGGTGCCCACTCCCAGGTCCACCTGCAACAGTCTGGGGCTGAACTTGTGAAGCCTGGGTCCTCAGTGAAGTTATCCTGCAAGACTTCTGGCTACACCTTCACTGACTATGAAATGAATTGGGTGAAGCAGAAGCCTGGACAGGGCCTGGAGTGGATTGGAGCTATTTATCCTGAAAATGATGCTACTGCCTACAATCAGAAATTTCAGGACAAGGTCACTCTAACTACAGACAAATCCTCCAGCACAGCCTATATGGAGTTCAGCAGACTGATATCTGACGACTCTTCAGTCTATTACTGTGTGAGACACAATGTTGCAACCACATCCTGAGTGTGTCAGAAACCCTGGGGGAGCAGGAAGGGGCCACGTGACTGTGATGACAGAGAAGATTAGACAGGAGACTTGCTAAAAATTGATCATTACAAGTGTCACTTCTTCTTTTACTTCAGGGTAGCATAGGGTTTTTGTCAAGATTTCAAAAGGACCACTGAGAAAAGCAAGATACTCATTCAGGATGCCCTTAAGTTTAACCACACCTTGATCAGCTATTTTTCAGGGACCACATCCATTGACTTAATTCCTTTTCAACAATGAAAATAGGAAAAACTGAAGCAATTCATTATGATATAAATACCTCTTGAATCTAAGGAACTAGATCTATGGGTGGAGTAGCAGGGAATGAGCTATGACTAGGATTAGGCTAGTAAAAGATAAACCAACAGCATGTGAATAAACAAGGTCCCTTTCATAGTCCAGTTTTCTTTGCCAAGAACAAGGAAAGGCAGTTTGTTGGAAGAGGTCTTTTTAAGTTTTGGGGTAGCTGTTTTAACCTCTCCCATGAAATATAATTTTATATCTTTAGCTTTTGGTACATCTGTTCATGACTTGCTTTTGGCAGTAGTAATCAATTTCTTTTTGTTTTAGGATTAAGGATAGAGTTGAGAGGCATGATGTGGATCCTATGAGTATGGAGTCTGCCACTTTGACAACAAACGGAGCCCCTGCTTATATTGCACTGGGGTCATAGCTGTGGGATTCCAAGGCTGGAATGTAAGAGGGATGATCCTTTCATCAACAGCTCTGGTGAACATCAACAGAGGTGCTCATCCCTCTGTTTCCAGAAATTGGTGTGTCTATGTCACTGCTTCTAGATTAGCAATGACTGTGCCAGTGAAAGTACATCTTACAAGTCGAAGGTAATTTAGAGGGAGCTTTACTATACCGAGGATGATTGGAAAGATTAAGTTTATATTATTTTTGTAAATAATACATTTGAAATTTAAAGGAGGCTTGAAGGACAGCCAGAATCTGAGCTATACCTTCTTCTGTGCCATCATTCTGGCATGGTTCAGTCACACCAGCAACCATGTAGTAGGCTCTAGTAACTGAAGAACGAGGCCTTTACAGGTAAAATTTGAATTTTCATAAGCAAATTAGATAGACAATTGGGAAACAGCTTCTTTATGGTCTTCCTGCTACTCTACGACTTGTTGCAGGTGATGGACAAAGTCATAAAGAGTTCTGTAGATTTCTGTCTATAGTGAAAGAGATGCCTGTGGGAGTTTTAATATCAGGAATTTTACTTGGAGTCCTCATAAAATCTTGGCTGCTTTGGATGCTCACTTCTTGAAGGCTGGTAAACTGTTGGGCACCATACTGCAGTATGAAGCATGACATTATACCCATTATCTGGGAGAAATGAGATACTGAAAGCCAAGGGAAGCTCCTCCAGCTCCCTGAACTCTAGCGATAAATGTTACTCTACAATGAGAAGAGAATATTGCCCTTAGGCTGTTTCTTGTTTGTCTGACAATCCAATGGACAGCATATCAATTCTGACCAGTGATAGAAGAGAAGTCACACATTGAACTGGTCCCATCTCCTTTTATCTTAGAAGATTACAACCATATTATTTGTGATCTTGATGATAGAGCAAAACATATATGAAAAACCTCACATTCTGTAGAGTACATGTTTTCGTTTAAATCTGTAGCTCCACTTCAGACATTTAACCACGGGTGGACACAAAATTCCAAATAGTGCTATTGGCTTCTTTCACTTAAGGAAGCACATTCCAAAACATTTTTCATCGGTGAAAACATTCAGCTTCTGAAACTGTTTAATAATCAAGGCTCTGTATAGCAATAGGTGGATGCTGAACTTGGAAATGTAGATAGGACGAGATAAAGCTGTGTAAGGAGACATAGCCTCCACCCATGAGGATCCTTGACAAACAGATCTCTTTCCCTTCCTTCCCTTAAGTGAATAAAAATTCAGAATGAGTAACATGTTGAATCATAGTAAACATTCACTCTATTTCTACTGCTTCCCAATGTGAATATGTTCTTCTGAAGTTGTTAAGTTATCAATGAGTACCATAGTTGTTCCTCCTCTTTCTGTTGACTCCTCTGTCTGAGTGTCCCAGGAACTCATATATGGAAGCAGGGAGGTGGCACCTGAATTAAAGACTCCTTGTGGTTCTTGACTTCAGGTGCTTGCCCCATGTTTGTCATAAAGAAGGGACCCAAGATTCTGTTGCTTCATGTTGTCATCATATTGCAAGTAAGAACTGCTAGAGCTGGATCCAAATCTAAAAAGAAAAGTCTGGCTTCGAGAGGGACATTGATAATTATATAGGAACTGCATAAAATCTATCTCTGAAACATTCAGTCAGAATCTTCAGGTTAATTATAACCATTAACCAATGCAACTGAACACTGTGAGCTCTGAATTTGTATGAATATGTTACAAAATAAACCAGACAGTGCAACGTCCATGGAAATATAGTAGCAAAGCAACTCACAGGGAGCTCAGCAGGGAGCACAATGGAGCCAAGAATTCCCAGTAGAGAGATGAGGTTGGTGTAGAGGGGAAACTGTGTTCTCTCTGGTTTCCTTACTTAGACTCTATTGACTGACCTGACACTGTAGTGACTGACATATGATGCTTCCATGCTCAAGAACCATAAAAATTCTTTGTCAAACCCTTCGCAGGATTGTGTATTTTTATTATTTTATTCAGTTTTATTGTCTTTATAAATCATTTTTATAGAAAATTGCAAGTCTCATTCTGATTATTGAATCTCCCTGCAGCTACCCACTCTTTCTTTCTCTCTGTAGAAAGCAAATAGATGAAAAAGAAATATTAAAATAAAAGCATTACTGTAAACTGAGAAATAACACAAGAAACACTCCCACAACTAATCCACAACACACTCAACCATGGGAGTATGACATATTGGTAAAAGATAAGTAAGGTTGAATAAATAGTGCACACTGAAACCAGACAAATTATCTACAAAACTATCATTGATTTCATTCTGTGTTGACCATCTACACCTGGACTGGTGTCCACTATTTAGTGTGATTAATGCATCCAATAATTCATTAGATAAAACATTTTTCCTTTGCGCAGAGGTGTCTACTTCTTGTTTATTGGTGGAAACCTGTTTCCCTGTACTTCTCTCGACTTTTGGATCCTAATAGGATTGGATCTGTGTAGGATCTGTATATTGTTTCACAGATTATGTGACTTTAAATGTGAATCAGTGCTGTTGTATCTGGAAGACACAGTTTCCTAGGATGTCATGTACCCCTTTCTAGCACCCACAATTGATTCCGTTTTCAAACAATTTTTCAGAAATAAGGTCTAACTATGAGTTAATGTAGGCAACTAAGGGCAATGGCAAAGTCTCATTCTGTTCTCAGCACCTGTGGGGAATCTCTGATCATTAACTCACAGAAATCTGTCATGTGCCTGGTCTTAGTTGTTTAGTTAATAACTCATGTGTTCTGGGAGCAGCATTAATCACTAATGTGGGTACCTGTGTTCAAATAGTCACTAGTTAATGCAAAACTCAAATCTCTTTCCTGTGCTTTCTGCTCATATTTCTGCAAGCATATATCTCACATAACCATAGAACATGATAATAATCATTGGGAAAATACAAGTAACAAATACTAGCTTTATCAGCATCTCATAATTTTTCATAGGATCTTCTTAAATTTATAAATTTGATAGCAATGCTGTATTAGAAGATCCATAAAACCACACCAATCCTGAACATAATTCACTCCCTTAACACAAAGAAAATCTCAAATGTAAAACGTGGCAACAAGAAAATGTTCAGAATTTCCTGACATATTGCTATATAAATAAAATTATATTTCTCAACTTTTACCCCTACTGTCATGTTATTACTTCATTTTGCCGTGCCTCATGAATTCTATATCTTTTACATTCATATGTTTACTCACATTTCAGGATTTTCATTTCAATATGACTTTCTTACAAACTAATTCTCGCTTGTCCTAGAGCATCATTTAATGTCTCCATTATGAGACAAAACTTGATGTTTTAAACTTGTCTCCTGTATTTTCCCATGTCCTTTCATTTTGCATATATTTTAGTATACACTCTACTTTAATTCCTCAAAACTCAGCGGCTTATTTCTCAAATGTTTCCTGATAAAATTAATCACACAGACATAATATGCAAGTCTGAGAATCACACATAAGTAAGAACATGAAGCATTTGTCTTCATGCATCTTTGTGATATTACTCAGATTTTTGTTGTCATTCACTTACCTATAGATTTCATAGTTCATATTTTACTACTGGTTACTCTTCCATTGTCTATATGACAGACATTTTCATTATGTATTTGACTTTGTTGGAAAAATATGTTGGTTTCTGCTGTTGTGAATAGAGAAACAATAAACATGTAAATGTAAATAACACTACTGTAAGATTTAGAGTAACTGTGTACATGCTTGTGAGGAACATAGCTGGTAAGCAGTACAGTTTTTTTTGAAAATTTGAAAACTAATTTCCAAATTACTACACTAGTTTATTCTCACATAAAATGTAAACCAGGGTTAATATTTCACCATGTCATCTTCTGTACTTGTTGTGCTTTGATTTCTTGCTTATATTCATTCTGAGGTAAACAGAGATCATCAAATTTGTTTTAATCTACATTTCACTGTGACATAGAAACTTCCATTGCAGATCATAGAGAAACCAATCTTGAACAGAAAATTCTCTCTACAGACTAGGAATCCTAATTCAGGAGCATGCCATGCAGCCTGAAGGGAGATAAAAGACACCAGTGATCTTACACAATACCAGACCTTACAGTCTACATTATCAGCCTTCAGGTAAGTTGTACCTACTATTTCCTGGCTATCCTGTACTGACCATTTACATTCTAACTAGATTTGTGGACAAGGTCATAGGAAAGACTTCATCTTAGGTTAAATTCCATGAGTATAAATGGCATAGCTCCTAGTAGATGCTAGTTGTATGGCTAATATTTATGTTGTCAAACTGCTTTGCAAATCTTTATGTTTACTCCCAATTGATTAGTTCTACTCTCAGTCTTGATGACAAAAGTTTCTGTATGGTGTGTGTAATGGTTAATGCAGATACTCATGAGTGGTCAAAATGTTGCCAATGGGTGTATGAATGCTCACTTACTGTTTATTCGTCTGTATCAACATCCTGCCCAAAATTCAAGTACCACCTCAGAAGAGAGATGGGGAATAATGTAAGACATCCTAAAATCTATAGGCCAATGCACAAAACTAGAAAAAACATTCTGAATGAGGTAATCCACATACATAAAGCAAGTATAGTATGTACTCCTTCATAAATTGATTACAGAAATACAGCAAAAGGGCCTCGGCCTACAATCCGCAACCCCAGAAGCCAAGCCCTCTTCTAGAAACAGATGGAGGCAGAAGTAGAAATTCACAACTGACCATTGGGTCAATCGTATGGAGTACAATCAAAGTGGGGGTGGAGCAATAGTATGATAAAAGGGGTCAAGACCAAGATCAGGAAAACCACAGAATCGGGTGACAAGAGAGAGTTAAAGATCAGCGACACTGGTCTGACAAATGGGGGACTTGTATAAGATGGACCTAGAGTCTGTTAATATAGGTGATGGTGGCATGACTGGGATAATTTTGGAGGCCACTGGCAATGGGTCTAAGATCTAACTATAATGCACAAACTAACTTAGTGGAGTCCATTCTACATAGAGAGATTCTTTGCTCAGCCAAGAGAGAGGGGTGTGGGGATGGAAAGGTGCCTTGTTGCTGCCTCAGTGAGATGATGAGACAGGCTTAGTAGATTCCTAGTAGAGCATTTAACATCACAAAGGAGAAGATGGGTGGTGGCAAGGGAGTGGGAAATGCACGAGGAGAGGATATCGGGGGAAATGGGATTGGAATGCAAAAAAATTAATAAGGTTTTAAAAATATATGTATAGAAAATGTTAAGAAAGAATTCATTGGAGATAAAGCAAAAAAGTACAGGAGCAGAATTTGATGGTGAATTTGGGCTGGGTAGTGGAGGAAGGTCCATGCCAAGATGTGCTTCCTGTGATCTCCTGTATTCCCTGGCTCCCTTATTCAAGACTCACACTGTAGGAAGTCAGAGACAATGAAGTCCATATTGTTATAATGAAATGGAGTGGAATTCACCCTTCTCGTTTATTAGTACAAGGCTGACTCCTCACATGCAAATGCATCTTCAAGCTCAAAGTTAAATCCTCTCCTGGGCTGTGGAAGCTCACATCACTCTCACAGGATGCTGACCTCCAAGAAAAGGGATTTAGCCTAGAAGATGAGACTGTTGGCTCTACTGTACCTAGTGACAGCCCTTTATGGTAAGTGTAACCATCTTATACACATGTTCATGAAGGGATGTGACAACATGTGATTGACAGAAATGACTCTTCTTCTCTTAAGGTTTCCTATCCCAGATCCAACTTCAGGAGTCAGGACCTGGCCTGGTTCAGTCATCACAATCACTGTCCCTCACTTGCTCTGTATCTGATTACTCCATCACCAGTGGAAATAGCTACTGGCACTGGGTCAGGCAGTCTCCAGAGAAGAAGCTGGAGTGGATGGGGTACATAACCTATGGTGGTGGCATCAACTACAACCCATCCCTCAAGAGCCACATCTCCACCACCAGAGAAACATCCAAGAACAATTTCTTCCTGCATCTGAACTCTGTGACCAATGAGGACACAGCCACATATTACTGTGCAAGAGACACAGTGAGGGGATTTTAGCCTGAGCCCAGACACAAAACTCCCTGCAGAGTAGCTTGGGGCCAGCGGGTGGTGCTCAGACTTCACCACTCCCAGCAACTCTAAGACTCAGAACAGAGAAAGAAAATAACCTGCTTTCCTCTGACTTTTCTTCATGTTCCCTAAATACAGAGAAGACAAGGGGAATTTTCACTCTCTGATGCTGAAATTCTGTGTTTTTATAAAGTCACATTTATTTGTTTCTCTGTCTCTTAAGACAGGGTACACAGTAATATTTCTTTTCATTTTGATTGTGGTTCTAACATTTACCATCTGAGTCAACTCTCTTGTCTTACGAATATATTTAATTTAATGAGCATCTTTTTAAAAGTCAGCTGACTTTGGCATTGCAGTTGTAATCCCCTTAACAGCTCAATCACGTATTCTCTTGATTCTCCATTCCTTCCATCCTCAGATACATCTGCACACGATAGCACTTCCTAGAGTATTGACAGGAAGCTGTTGCTGCTGTAAGTAGGGAATGAGTCACAAATTGTTGGAATCCTCACATCACTGCAGTTGTATTACCCATAGTGTAATGTAGGACATGGATTTCTTGAGGTCCACTGTGCATTAATTATGTACAAAGACTTGTGTGAAGTTATTAATCTTACCCAAAGTTGGGATATTTCACACAAAAATAACAAAAGTTGCATTGTGATTAATACATCACATTAAAGAAATTATTCTTTGTTTACACTGGTAATCAATTTTTTTGTAAATGTGTCATAGGAGATTTTGGGATTGTATATGGACAACTGGAGACACACTTTGTAGTATGGACTTGAACTCCAGCATCAGTATCAGTGACAATACTTCCAATATCCAGGCGTTCTTATATCTGAACCATATGGTATGCCTTAATGTGCCAATGACATGGGAGAGACTTCATTGTGAACTCAAGTAACAATCCTCCCATCAGAGGAACTTGAAAGAAGCCTAGTTCTTTAAGAATGGCTGAGGCTCCCCACAACAACTAGATAACCCCATGTCATATAAATATACCCATGTGCTTCCAAGCAAACAAACAAATGAAGAAAAAAACCCTATTTCAACTTCATTTTAGAATATGTGGTTTCCCTTGCTGTTTGATTAATATCCTATGGACTCTTTGCTACAGCTTATTCTGGGATGATTACAATATCCATTTGTCACTTGCTATTAAACAAAGAAAAATAAAAATTTCCATGGTTTTTCCCAAAAAGATCTGTAATTTTAAGACTTGGTTATGATGGATTTGATAAATCACAGGGAAGCTTAGATAATATGAAAAACTTTGTATTTATTTTACATCATGAGGAGTAGAATCGAGAAATTTCATCACTGAATGTTATTAACTCACATAGATGAGAAATAGGATGTCTACTGCTTCCAATGTGTTAATGCTCTACAAGGGTTAATTTAATTAACATTTTCACAAAGTACATGTTGGAAATTAACATCCTTGTAAAGATTAATTTAAACCCAATAGCTCATAAATCATTTCTTTGAAGGTGTTTATTATAGTCTTGTCTTGTGGAAAACTCTGAGTGACATTTGTGTACATGCCAGATGTTGTCATCCACAAGCTCTGTTGCAACTCCCTTCTTTTTGGAATAGAACTTGTTATCAGAGTTTTCTGCTTTTCCAGGTGTTTATTATTAGCTTGGCCAGGATGCTTACAGTGATAGATATCTCTCTTGCTAATAAAAGTAGTGAAGCTGGACTGTTTGCCTGTGAGTTAGAGATCAATGGGAGAAGTGATGTTGAGGTTGGTTAAGTGTAAGGAGGGTGTGTTCACAGGTACGCAGAACATACAGGGGATAAAAAGAGCTATAGGAAGGATACTCTTTCCATGTGGGTTCTAGTTTCGACCTGGAGAGCAATGTGTGGACCCTTGGTTCTCGACTTTCTTGGCTTCTCACATAAATGATTTCTTCCTCAATAAAATGTCACAGGACATCCTTATTTTGTGTAGTTTAAAAATTTTACATTATCTCGTGTCAGAAATGGGATTGTATGGTATAACAGTTATGTGTTTTATGTTACTATATTTGAAAATGTCTTCCAATTTGCTGGAGACATATGCTGGAGCATTGTCAGTTTTTATTTGTGCAGGCATAAGCATAACAGTCATCATCTATAAGAAGTCTGTGATAACATAATCAGCCTTTTCAGAGCTAAGAGCAGTAGCCCATTGGAAACCTGAGAATGTGACCATGGTATGGTTCACATATTTGATACTTCCAAATTCTTGAAAGTGAAACACATCTATTTGCCAAATTTCTTTTCTGCAAACAGTTTTGGGATTTCTGCCTGCTGGTAACACAGTTGGATTATAGAATGAGCAGGTGGGGAAGTTTCATATTATTTCCTTGGCTAGTTTCCAAGTGATGGAAAAATCCTTCTTTAAGCCCTTGCTATTAACATGGTGATTCTTATGAAATTCTGAAGCTTCCAACACACTTCCTATTAATAAATGATCAATCTCATCATTGCCTTTTGCTAGAGGACCTGGCAGACCCATATGGGATATGATGTGTGATTCATAATTCATATATACATATAAATGAATATATATATAGTGCGTTCTGTTTCAGATAGTTTCCTGCAATTATATAAACAATGAAGTTATTTCTGTATTGTCAGGAAGATGTTCAGTGGTCTCAATGTGTAAGATGACTCTGAATATTGAGAGTCAGTAAATACATGGAGAGGCTCTGTAAAACCCATAAGTACCATGAGAATGCTGTACAATTCGCCTTTTGTACAGTTTGAAGGGCTTTGAACTGCTTTATTTTTTTCCTGGTTTATAACCTGCCTTTCCTGAATTTTTTTCATTAGTGTATAGTGTAAGAACTCTAGAGACAGGTGTTTTTCTTACAATGAGTGTAAGAACCGAAATTGTTTACTTCATGAACCTTATTGTCTCTGTTTCAGGATAATTGTTACTAATCGTTAACACAAAGATACTACAAGCCCTTTGCCAATGTTCATTATTCTTCCATAAAGAGGAAATTTATTCATTAGTTAATGATGCAATAATTTCTGTTGGGTCCCTTACAGCTAGTTGATGAAGTCTTAATTTCACTTTAAAATCAACTCAGAGTTCTTTCTTATATATGTCTTCAATGTTTTATTCTATTTATGTGGCAAAAATACATTTGAATATGGTATCTTCCCTCTGCATCAAAATCTCTGGGTGGTATACTCTATATGGCAAAATAATCTGAATGCACTCTAGTTTTGGATCCAAAGGGTGTGCATATGTTTCTAGTATTCTCTTTTCTACCTATTCTAATTCTTGTGATAGCCTCAACTGTTATTATTCGTGGACTATTCAAGCCCTTGTCTCCTTTAATGGCCATTTTAGTTATTTCAAATCATGCCCTTGTACTCTTGGTGCCTCTTCAGAACTTTAGAAATTGCCTTCCCTACCGAAGTTTCTGTATCTTGAACTTTATAATCAATATTAGCTGTATACAACATCCATTTGTCTAATAGTGCTGATATGATTTTTAATGGCCAAAGCACCTGTTTACATTTTGGATTTGCATTCTCATAAGATAGCATTTCTATAAAGATTTGCCTAGAATCTGACTCAGTTACCTGCATTCTATTGCTCTGGACAGTCTTTGTAAGAATTTAGTGAACCTTTTTCCCAGTCCCTCAACCAAATTGGTATAAGGTTCTATTTTCTTTCCTTGTTCAGGAACCTTTTTCAAAGCATTCAGAGCTGCTGTACAGCTTAAAGACAAGATGTTTTCATCGTATTCAGCCTGAGCCTGGAAGTCAGCATGAGCGCCCTCACCAAAAATTTTACAATCTTGGGGGGCTTTATAACCTTTCTTTAGGCATTGAAGTTTGAAACCCTTTGCTTCCTCCATCCATGAAGCTCTCCAGTGTATTTTAGATGAATTTACTAGTATAGCTGAGATCAATTGACTTCAATCCTTTAGGGTCCACCTATTCACACTCGCCCATGAATTCAATAATTCCCTGACATATGGCAAGTGAATAATACAAGAAACAGTGGTATGTTTTATCCCCTTAAGGTCCTTCATCTGTATTACTTCCCACTGATAAGCAACTGAACCATCAGGATTCATTCTTGTTGCTGTTTTCTCAGTCATAGATACTACTGGGAAGACCCGAAGAGATGGCATAACAACCTTAGGAAGTTCATCCTGCCATCTGAGAGGTGTAGGTAAACCTCTGCCATGACCTGATGGTAGTTCATCTGAATCTAATGTATCAAATTGTAAGTTATATAAAATCTGCAGTCTAGTGATGACTGTTTCTCTGAGTGATTGAATTTCCTTGGTTAAACGTTTTTCTAAGAGCTTCATAGAGTTTGTCCTTTTCATGGACACATCATTTATACGTGATTCCAAGCATTTGATATTCTCATCATTAGATATTATCTGAATTGCATGTAAGTTGCCTTCTATGAACAGTGGTATATCTGATAAGAGGTCATTATCCTCAGACATGGAATGGATTGTTTTAGTAATTTTAACAGTCTAGATTTCCACCTTGTGAATTTTGTTAGTCGAGGCATCAGACAAGGAGCAAGTAGTTTCTGAAAGCCTGATAATGTGCTGCTGAATCAATTCTACTTTGACCAAAAGGACAGTGGGCATGGAATCAATTCTGTCTTGTAAGTTATTATGTTTAAGTTCCAAGGTGTCTACTTTGTTAGACATTTCCCCATTGACCTGAAGATTTTGAATTTTTGCCTCTAATTTAGCAATATTTTGCACAACTTCCCTTCTTTCTGCCTTGTGTTTAAGTCCTCTCTTCCAGGATATTATGTGGATTATGAAGGTAATTGTTAGCATTAGATATAAATATATTTGGGTCATGTTATAATCCTTTCCAATGATGTCTTTATTTTAATAAACAATGAGATCTCTAAAATTCTGCCCTGGTATCAGTTTAAACTCCCAGAATGCAAAACTTACCTCTAATGACATGTGGTTGAGGAATGGATTTTTACATGCAATAAATAATGCTTGGCCAGAAGGTGGTGCAGGTGTGTGGACAAACACAGCTCTGCCACAGGTGCTCTGTATTTTTCCCCTTGTAATCTGAAATATCGTAAATCACTTTTGCAAAAATTAAACCTGGATTTTATTAAAAGGAAATGAAAGAGCCCCAGGCAGATTGTGGTATCCTGCAGGTATGGAGTGCTAAGGAACCTTAAAGGTGGGAAGGAAAGCAAATGCCACATGGCTTTAGGGACGCTTGTTTGGGCAACCAGCTTGTTGCCAGGGAAAGCCATGATGTTTAGCGGCTGTTCAGGGTGCCTGTTCCACAGGCTTCTTGCTTACCAGGGCTCCATGGACTGGCATGGCAGAAGTATTGATTTCTGAATGGGCAGGTGGGCTGTGGAGATGTGCTTTCTCCTTGAATGCTGGACATCTTTGGCTTGATCAGATGAACAACATGGGAGGCACTCAGTTTGGCAGAAGAAAACCATGCTGAGCAGGAGAACGGGACTGAATTGGGAAACTCCAGTGACTTAGGAGGGCCTCTTGAGGCACTGAGACACACTTGGCCACAGGCCACATACACAGGCTGGTGGTTGGCCAGGGAGGGAGGAGGAGGACCATGAGGCTGGGTAAACTTACTAGCTGACACCAGATAAGTTCCTATATAGTTATTCAACTGTGTGGGGCCTTTCTAATTTCATATTTAAATTAAGGGTAACTAACAGTATGAAAACACAACATGCTGTGTGCACATGTTGATAAAATGTGGTAATTGTTAATAAAAATGTGTACAGAAAATTACTACACTGTGTAAATTTCTATAATTTCTATCTCTCACCAGTGTATCTGATGTCTTATATCTGCTCTGATCATTGTCTTCTGAACAGATCCAAATCCAGATTGTGCTACAGCAGGAAGACATGCAAATAAGACTTCTCTGTGCCCAGTAAAACCAGCCTTGCCCTGACCCTGCAAGTCTTGCAGAAGAGCCGAGTCCTTGATTCCCATGTCTTACCATTCTGTGATCAGCACAGAACACAGACCACTCACCATGGGATTGGGGCTTACTTGGATTTTCCTTGTTGCTATTTTAAAAGGTAATTAGCAGAGATGAGATGTGGTATGTTGTATTGACAAAAGAAAGAGAAAAATGGTTTTCTGTGACAGTATTATGACCACAATTCTCTGTGATTTGCAGGTGTCCAGTGTGATGCAGAGCTGGTAGAGTCTGGAGGAGGCTTAGTGCAGCCTGGAAAGTCCCTTAAACTCTCCTGTGTGGCCTATGAATTCACCTTCAGCAGCTATGCCATGAACTGGGTGTGCCAGACTCCAGGGCAGGAGCTGGAGTGGGTCGCATACATTAGTAGTGGTAGTAGTAACATCTACTATGCCGATGCCGTGAATGGGCGATTCACAATATCCAGAGACAAACCCTATATCTGCAAATGAACAATCTCAAGTCTGAGAACACAGCCTTGTATTACTGTGCACATCACACAGTGAGTGACTGCTACTGTGAGCTCAGACACAAACATTCCTCCAATGCTCTCAGGACCAGCAGGGGGCAGTGAGATTATACAGAGATCTGTGTGTCAGAAAAATTGTTCACAGAGTTATACAGGGCTGCACTCCTCTGTGTTGGACTGCTTCTCCATATCACACTCAGGGCTTCTCTCTACAGTTTTAGTGTGTAGTAATCCTTGAAGGGTCCAAAGGTTGATTTATTTAAATATCATTTTGTGCGGATATGTGTTTATTTGTTATAATATTTCTCTCTGGCTCTGTTTCAGTATCTCTGTCAATTTCTTGATCTCTCTATATCTCTCCCTCTCTTCCTCTCTCTCTCTTTATCTCCCTCTGTCTTTCTCTCTATCCCCCTCCCTGCCTCACCCCTCTGTGTGTGTGTCTGTCTGTTTGTATACAAGTTGGCATGAGGTTACTTTTTCTACACACCTACACAATGTTTTTTAGATAAGTTCCATCACTGAGACTTAAGCTCAGCAACTGCCTAAACTGAATTTCCAGTGACTTCCAATGATCACAATGATCTACATCTCAGAGGAGGGCTTACTGGTTCACTCCCACTCCTACCTCTCTTTATAGTCACAGAGGACTAAACACAGATCCTTTTACTTGAGTGGTTAGAACTTGAACCACAGAGCTATCTCCACAGCCCCAATATGCTTTTTTCCATGTAGGATGTACTCTGACTTGGATATCAGGCAGAGGCTCACACTGAGCAGATTATTCTGTGTGGAGACCAGAATCAGACCCTGAAGAAACACAGGACCCTTGAATTTGTGGAGTCCCGAGTCTAGGGCACAGAGAGAGTAAGATTCCCTGGTTAGAGCACTGTGAGTGTTCGGGTTTGACAAAACTAGGGAATCAGGCAGGGTCAGTCACCGTTGAATCCAATTTACCTTCAGTGTCTATTATGTCATCCTCACACAGACCATGGGCAAGTGACACAGCCATGACCCAGTGTGGTGAATGTAATAAAATGGGTGTGAGGCACAACACTAAGACATGAGGCCAATGTAGCTAGTGACACTCACTGATCATCAGTTAGCTGCCAATAGTTCCTAATTCACACAAATAGGAAAGTGTTTGTTTTTCCCTTATATTTACATGAATTCAATTCCCCTAATTTGTTATATCAATCTCTTTTCTTCCATTCCTGTTTCTCTGGGTCTTATTTACAGTACTGTCCCAGAAAAATGACGTGAAGCACCTGTGTGTAATTCTGATCTGGGTTTCTGTGGCAGTTTGAAGGTGTTTGACCTCCATAAACTTATACTTATTGGCACCATTAGGAGGTGTAGATTTGTGGAGGAAATGTGGTCTTGTTGCATAAAGTGTGGCCTTGTTGGAGGAGGCTGAATGATATACTCTTTTAATCTACACATTGAGGCTGGAGGGCATTGCTTGAGTTCCTTTCCTCACGTTGAACAGTGATGAGGACATGTAAGTCAAATATATAAATTGCTTTCTTAGTTTCTGTGTTCACTGTGTTTCATCATAGCAATAGTAACACAAGTTAAGACACTTCATTCTCCTTCTAACATTGCATGTAGGTCTTTTAGTGAAATCCCAGACTCAGGACCTTGGGAGGAATGTTCTCCTCGTTATTTTGTGTCTGCAAATAGAATGTGGCTCACATTTTCTGTACATTTACTGATTTACATGTTGGTTGGATTTTTGGAAAGACAAAATAAAAAATTGTATTAAATATGTATATTCTGTAAGAAAAGTTTGCATCCTTGGAGGGAAATGAAAGAGAAGAGGACATTGGGTAAGGCAACACTGGTTGATCCAGGGGATGTCAGGGAGACTTGATTGATTCTATGCTTCTGTTATTATTTAAAAGCAGTTCAGCAAGGTAAGGAAAGAGTCTTTGGGGCACAGCTGTCCCAACGCCCTACAGCTTCCCAATACTCTCTGCTCCACTGCTCCTGCAGAAATTATCTCACTGAAAGACAGTTGCACCATGTTTATTCAGCACACAGTTTTCACAGAAGCCCCATAAAGCAATCTGACTCCAGTGAGCAGTGATGATAAGCCCTACTTCCATGGTTTTAATTCCATCCATGAGTCCAGTGTTCAGTGAAGACAGGGATGTGTCAGTGGATCTTGTTCCATCACTTACTCCAGTGTGCAGTGATGAAAGGCCTGCTTCAGTGATTAATTCATTTACTGACACCAGTGTGCAGTGAAGACAGTCCCTATTGCATGAGATATCATGCTATCAGAGGAAAGAAACCAGTTTTATGGTAAATACAGGTACTCATGTGATGGTTGGAGTAGGAAGTTGTCTCACTGGTGGGATGATCTCTCTGTCAAGATGATCAGGCCACACTCCATCATGTGATGATGCTCTGTCACTTGCTCCTCTCATACAAAGAATGGATGCCACTTGAGAAGATTTCCAAAGCTTTGTAGAAAAAAAGTTTATAGACTCTAGTGCTCACCATTTGAGATTTCTACTTCAAGAATGTCTCACTGATAAATCTGATTGAATGTGACTAATCACTCATTTTATCATTGAAATTCTTATGACTATTGGATTATTTTAATCCCAAATTCATAGCTCTGAATTTCTTGCAATTTCCCTTGGACATTCGCAACCTACAAATCTGTCTCACAGCTGAGATCAACACAGTTATTTCATGGCACACTTGTATGGACAACTCAACACATATGTGCATTGAATGGTTTTGATGTGTTCTATTGTTCCTGAGAACATGGCTGTTATTTTTCCCAGTGTTTTCAACTACAGAAAGACAGTTCTGTGCTCTGTGTTTTACACATAAAACCTCTAGTCTGCAGAACTGCCCAGCAATGAAAACTGACAAGATTAGTCATGCATTCAGAGTTAATAAATCAACAAAGACTGTGATACATCTAAACATGTGGAGTTTTCTGATCTTTCTCTGTGGTCCCTCTCAGAAGTGCTGACTAACATACAGCCTGTGAGATGAGTCTGTGAACAAGGCTATTCGCTAAAAAATCACATTATGAAATCATGACCCACAAATGTGGTACAGTTTTCTACTAAGTGTAAAGCTACAATTCAATTCCCTTGGGTCTCCACACAAAAAAAACCATTAACCACTGAGAGTACTAAATGTTTCTGAGTTGCTTTCTTACAAGCTGAATTTTCTAGGTGAGTGATAAGAATGAGATTAACTCAATTGACACTAGGAGAAAAGATTTTTGCCAGGTTATTAATTCTGGTTTACCACCACTAAGAGCTGAAGTACATCATGTGACTAAATCAACTTGAATTTATAAGGATATGCACTGAGGGTGTTTTACCCTCTTCTGTCTTCACTGCATGAATGTGGACTCAATTCTGTTCTGCATCCATGGCCTGCACAGTGTGGATCACATAATTTCCTCTTTATATGAAAATGGATATTCAGACAGAAGTAGAAAATGTTCCAATTTTTCAGCTGTTCTTCTGAGAAGCATAAAACAAATCTCAGACACAGTTAGGTGAAACTGGGTACCTTTCTCTGTGCCTCCTTTTATCCTCTCAGGATCCTCCCCCAATGCAAATCAGCCACAGGCTCAGGCTGAAAGTCCTGCTCTAGCTGTGCAGCCCCATCTCCTTCTCACTGGAGCCTCCAGCAGAGCATGGCTGTCCTGGTGCTTCTCCTCTGCCTGGTGACCTTTCCTAGCTGTAAGTGTCCAGGGTGTCAAGAGAGGGAAAATGCATGACATCATGGGATGTATGACTGATGGTGACTTTGTTTGTTCCCAGATGTCCTGTCCCAGGTGCAGCTAAAGGAGTCAGGACCTGGCCTGGTGCAGCCCACACAGACCCTGTCTCTCACCTGCACTGTCTCTGGGTTCTCATTAAGCAGCTATGGTGTACACTGGGTCCGCCAGCCATCAGGAAAGGGTCTGGAGTGGATGGGAGTAATAGGGAGTGGTGGAAGCACTAATTATAATTCAGCTCTCAAATCCCGAGTCACCATCACCAGGGACACATCCAAGAGTCAAGTTTTCCTAAAACTAAACAATCTGCAGACTGAGGACACAGCCACATATTTCTGTGCCAAACACACAGTAAGGGAACTCCAATGTGAACTTGAACAGAAACCTCCCTACAGGGACACTCGGGTCCAGCAGGGGGCGCTGCAGTCCTATATGGACTCCCATGGCCAGTATGGCTTTCCTTCAGAACTAGGAATTTCTTAGCTATGCTGCATGAACATGTGTTTTTATGTCAGAACCTGTGGTTTATTTTCCAGTCAAGGAAATCCTCTAGAGGCCCTTCTACTGTCATATTCTGCTCAACTTTTGTGTTCTCACAACAAAATAAATGGTTTACCCATAGCCCTCTAAGATATCCAGTTGCTGGTGTTATTCCATTCAATGGCACACATTTTTTGTATTCCATATATATGCACATGTATTTATAAATTTTCTTATATACACGACATTTCAAAAGGAGTCAACATTTTTCACATTTGTTGACAGGTTAAGTTCAGTAAGGAGTTTTGGGAAATTTGAAAAATCTGTAATTTATGCTTTTCATTTTTGTACATGTGATAGTGACTCCACAGCTTCCCTAAATTAATTTCATTTTGCCAAGTTACATTGGAAATGGAAATACCCAGAGTTTCCTTTTTCTACATCAAGATGATTCCATGAATGGATAGAGTTGATTATCCTGTTTCACAGATTCCAATTAACACACTTATATCTTGGTAAAAATTAGCTTTCACCCAAAGCCATAAAGAATTATCCCAGAGCATATGGAATGAGCAGTTTTTTGAGGTTAACTCATAAAAATATACTACTTCCACATATACAGAGCAGTATATGTTTTTATTAACTGTGGTCAACAGCCATACATCATTATTTGGGAAAATACTCTCATGCACCTAATTAATCTTCACACTTTACCCTGTGTTCTCTTGGTGCCTGGATGTCATTTACAA